AACGGGTAGTTGGACGTTGAGCCTTCCTGTATGACAAGCATTACTTAACGTTTTTACACACCTGGTGGTGGAAAATCAAATTGTACATTTGTTCAAATATATGCAGGACTCAATGCATGCTAGACAGAAAGGATCCAATGGATCACGTTCACAATTAAATGTAACTAACCGCAGTTGCTTAATTAATTACCAGTCCTATGGATTACTTTATAAGAAAGTAAATAAAAGGAGCAGAGAGAATTAGAAAAAAGGACTGAAAAGATCTCTTAATGCGTACAATCAGCTTAGGCGTCAGTGCTCTTAAGAGGGTGGGAACCTCTAGCTAACCCGACATTTTAATCTAATCTAAGACATTTTATCGATTCTACTTTTGTTTTGCCTTTTAAAAGCATTTTAAATGCATCTGGCAGAACGAATTGGTGACAAGGAAAAAAACGAATTTAAGTCAAATTAAACGAGCAGTGGGCCAGAATGAATGATTATGAATAAATTATTATTATATATTGATAGGTACCATGCTTATCCTACGCAACCGATGAAANCAAACACATAAAACTATATACATTTAAAAATCCCTATAGCCCTGAGGTACCGGAACAGCGATCTGTACCCGCTGCCGTGCCCCAAGACTACGCACAGGTCCTATGATATGCCAAAATATTGTCTATATACATCAAGACTTCTGCACTTGAAGAGGTGCTCGACCGTTATTCTATCCTTACATAACGGGCACCTACGCGGTCGCTTTCCGGCCGTGCGTTATTCTCGTATGACCTATGCGTAGTCTTGTCAGTATGGCCTTTTCCCTTTGTATTTAATATATATTTAAATTAAAAAATTGATTTAACTATAAAAAAAGTTTTATTTAACTATATAAAAAAGTTTAATATAGTTAAAGATTATTTTACACTACATAGTGTTATTTTATTGTACAACGATTCGTACGATTCTTAAGATTCGTAAGATTCTTAAGCCTAAAATTTATATACAATTTTTCAAAATTGCTTTCATTATTACTGTAATTTTTTTATATTTTTAATCACAATGTCACTTGGTTAGGGATGTTGCAATAGTTGTACAGCCGATCACATAAAAAACTAACGGCAAGATATTTACTTGTCACAAGGGCCAAAATATGAAGCGACGTGGAGGTCGTGTCAACCAGGAACGCGACTGTCGTCTTCGCCGGTCCACCCACGGCATGGGAACTCCCTCGACTTTTGATGTTCCTTTTCACCCCACTCCGGTGGGGTATAACAAGGGATGATTTGGAAATTAAAGGTCAGTCTAGTTCGAGGTCTCAAAACCCAGTCAGTCTTGACCAAGATTAGTCCATTCACCCATTCGTTCTACGCACGTTTTGAACGTTGTACTGAAATGGCACTCAGATCCAATAGATTTCTGCTAGAAAGAACTTGATCATTCAAAGGCATTTTTCGACTTAACCAATAATATTCTAAAGTTGTCCTTTATAAAGTAAGTTAAATCTTCAAACTCAGGTGCGAACTTATCTACCTAAATTACTCCCCTCTGAGAGATGGTTCTGTTGAGCGCTGCTCACTCTGTAACTGTTGTACGATGGAAGACCTTTTCCATTTTTTGGCTGAGTGGCCCATTCTTTCGGAGTTTCGCGTTCTCTCTTTGGAAACTACTAGTTTTGAGAGCGTGTTTGAAACTTAACTGGCAAAACTTAATTCCCCGGATTGCTCAGGCCTGGTTGGTTTTGCAAAATCGCACTGGAGTACCGCAGAGAGCTCATGGAGCAAGCAATTTTAATTTTATATTGAAAAGAACCAATAGTTTTATTTTGATTTAATTTTGTTTACTTAATTTTGATTGTTATTCTTGTACGTACAAAATTCAAGTGCATCTCAGCCGACCACCACCTCCAGCAGACGGTTTAAAAATCAATGCTGTATAAGAACTCTTTTTATTTTCATTTGGGCTGTACATCCTTAAGTATATAAATGTAATTTTTCTTTTTGTAAATAAAGTTCTTTTGTCATTCATTCATTCATTAAAATGAAAGTTTGGATGGACCTTTCGCAATACAGGGGCTTCAATCGGTGTTTAACAAAGTTAAAGACAATATGGCACCCAAGTAAAGACGGACAAGAAAGGTCATTGGAATGTTTTAAACATGTTCATCCCGATATTCTTTGCCTGCTGTTATCCATTGTTAACGAAATATTTAATGGGGGCGGATATATCAAATCGTTTTAAAAAAAAGCATGTTCTTCCCACTGTACAAAAAAGGAAATAAATGTGTCACACTAAAGAGGGATTTCCTTCATTAAAACAGTTGGCAAGTTCCACCAGGGTTTGCTTTTAAAAAGGAATAATGAATAAATAAATGGATAAATAACAACATAATTACAGATTCTCAAGCTGAGTTCCGTCAAAACAACTCAGCTGTAGACAATTTTTTTAATCTAGTGAATTTTGGGAAATTAAAGCTTCGTATAAAGAAGAAACTAAGTTTTTTGTTGTGCGTTGTGTAGAACCATTGACAGGGACGGCTGAGTCATATTTGAACTTGGCAGTGCATCTGTTCTTACTAGCCACCTTTGTATCAATATTATCACTGACCTTTTTTTGCCTAACTCGACATAATTATCGTAAACATTTTTTTAACTATTATTTCTTTTAGTATATATGTACTTTATTTTTATTTACTTTTACTTTTACTATTTCCATTTACTTTATTTTCGTTTATTTTATTCATTGAGTTATGTGCATTTAGGTAATCATAAATATACTATGTATATATTTGGAAGCTATATTTCTGCTAGTATTATTCAATTATGTTCTATTACATTACTGAAATTTGTCGTATAATTAATTATTGCTCATGAAAACTCTTCTTGTTAGACCATAGAATAAAAGGTTTGACATGAATCAGATAGGATAAACCATACACCATACAGGAACCCTCGAAATGCTGAATGGGCAAGGTTCACCGAGATGGTGCAACACAATTTAGACCACGCAACAGTGAAAAGATCACCAAAACCCTGCGATGAATTAGAATTTGCTGTCACGTAAATCACAATTGATGCATACGTGTGAAGCTGCTCTGTGAAGGAACTGAAAAGAACATGAGAACATCCCTGGTGGAACAGAGAACTGGGCAAGCTAAGAGTTGAGACCAGAAGATCATTTAACAAAGCGAAAAGAGCAAACAGCTGGGGAGAATACAAAATATTACTCACCTTATATAACTACACTATCTGCAGGGCGAAGAGAGAAAACTTTCGCAAATTCTGCGGAAAAATCTCTTCAGTATCGACAGCAGCTGGATTACACAAAGCACTAGCAAAGGACAGAGTAGACATAAACACTGCCCAGAAGAAAGCAGACGGTAGCTATACAGAAGATACAAAATAAAAAACAATGCTTCTTCTAAGTACACATTTTCCAGTACTTACAACACACCCATGGAAAAGATGCGAGTACATAAACACAAGGAAGAAAACTGGAAGAAAGCAGCTGAAATAGGCACTGAGAAAAAGATCCTCCGATCAATTTTTTCAGCCCATATAAAGCGCCAGGAACGGCGCTACAAAAAGGAGCAGGAATAATTCCAACACTGGTGTGTACATACAAAAGTAGCGTAGCATTAGGCTATATACCTCAGACACGGCGTAGGATACAAATCGTGTTCATAACAAAAATAGGGAAAAGAGAGCCTACACTACCCAAATCCTACAGACCAATCTGCCTAACATATTTTCTACTGAAAGCGCTCAAAAAACTGATAAACAACTATATAAGAATAGTGCTACCCACTCTGTACCAGTTTATTAGTGACTCGAGGGAAGCACTAGAAGCAAAATTAAGAGCCATCTGCGCGTTCCTCGATATTGAAGGAGCCTTCAATGAAGGTCTCCCTAGAAAAAAACACGTAGACCCGACCACATCTAGATGAATTGGACAAATCTTAAGAACCCGAAAAGTTGAAACAAGCATAGGAAGAGACATTATACAAGTCAGCAGGGATAAATTGCCAGGGCTATGCATATGAGATATTCCTGACCGCCAGGGAAAAATACGAGGACACTCTCGGTGACGTAATCCAAGATAGGCTACAAATCACAAATGATTGGTGTAAAACCGCTGGCTTAGGAATTAACTTTAATAAAACAACCATAGTCGTTTTTACATGGAAAAGGAAATTGAATCACATGAAGCAGATACCACTCAATAATACTGTGATAGAAATTAAAAAATAGTCCAAATATCTAGGTGTAACACTAGATAAAACACTGCCATTTAAGGACCATATCGACTTCAACTATCATAACGGCGAGACGAGCTTTGATGGAGTGAAGAAGAATAGCGGGGAAAAACGGGGAATGCAGAAAGGAACTGCTTTGGATATACACCATGATGGTATTGAGATATTGACACACGCACTCTGAACACGACACACAAGAATGGCACAATTACGCAGAAAACAAACACTTTGAGCCAGGAAGATGATCTCAATAAAGATCGAAACGTTGGCACGATAAAGAAAATGTTTTTCTGAAACCTATGTCCCACCAGACCGCATCTCACGATTTCCGAATAATCACTAAAATAAAATAAACAACCAAAGAAGAAAGCAGAGAAAGAATAAAACAACCCCCAAATTGGCAGAGGAGATCTAAATTCAAATTCGCTAATCCTTGTTTTATATATATACACGTACTTAGCCTGTGTGCAAATAGTTCACAGATTAATGAAAGATATTGCAACCAAATTGGTTATAAAATAACGCAATTTTCAATTTTAAAGTTTTTTTTGGCGTTATGAACTATGCATATTAGCCATGTGACAATTCATATATGTGTGTTCAAATTTGGGGGGGGTTATTGTGAAAAAAGGGCCAGAGGCGACGGTGGGAATCGAACCCACGACCGCGGCGTGAGGTCTCTCATGCTAACCACTCGGCTACCGCGGTCCCCAAAAATTTTAAAGTTGTAATTACAATTATCCAATGAACAAAACAACAAGTGTTAGAATTAACGTATGTTTGAAAACTTTTATTCCTGATGTGTTATTACAATTGTGTCCATAGTCTATATATAATATATGGTCTATGTGTATAGTTTCTAAAATTGAAGAAAGCCTCCAACAATTCAAAATTTCAAATATGTTGCAGCCATGAAAATTCAAATTAAATTAAAAGATTTTATTATTCGAAATTACACTGTACATAGTTTAAAAAATGAATTAATAATGTTCAAGATCGACAATAAAAAAAAAATTATGGTACGACGTTCAAAGGGCTTCACTAAGCATTTGACCAAATCTGGGATCGACCATGTAGAAATTTTTCACAGCTCTTTCCTGAAAACAGTAAAATCCGTACATTATTAACAGAAAAATATTTGTAACATTTTAGAAAGTGATTATTGAAAACCTGAATAAACTGAGATGTCTGTCTTATGCTGTTTGCTAAATTTGTTACGAGAGTTACTCTTTCTTGTTCGGATAATTTTGTCCTCCACATAATCCCAGGTTGACTGTAGTTGTCATCGTCCGAAGAATTAAACCTACAATTTACAATACACTTATCATTATGACATTAAACGAGATAAATGGTAATTTTCATTGTCAAGAAGAGCATACAGCAGAAACATATTTAAAAAAACACCCTATTTACCTAGCGATATCTCCACTGAGACTAAAGGCCGAAAATTTGGCATCAGGACAATGAATTCTGTTGTCGAAACTTGAAGGAAAGTAGTTCGGTGCACCTCCTTGGTTGTCCGAGTAGGTAGCCAAACCGTCACGCTGAGTATTGACTATTTTCGAACGGAATGGACTGTTCACCGGAATCTGTTTGTGGCTGGGGCCCAACCTATGGAACTGGGTGTCCATATAGGCGAACAATCTCCCCTAAAACAAACCAGCTTGAATGTTTTTAGAAAGAATTTTCATGAATGACGATTATAGTTATAAAAAAAATACTTGAAGCATTTTGTCTGGACTTGGTTCCACTCCAGGGATCATGTTGTTTGGTGCGAATGCAGCTTGTTCGATATCAGCAAAATAATTCGTTGGATTACGATCCAAAACGATCCTCCCAACTTCAATAAGTGGGTATTCCTCTTCAGGCCAAATCTGGATTGATGAATAAAATGACAAATTGAAGGTGATATTTTGGTACGTTATGTATTTTCAGATATACTTACAAGAGTTACGTCAAATGGGTTCCATCTGAACCTCTCCGCTTCCTCGAATGTCATTACTTGAATATAAAATGTCCAACTGGGAAAGTTTCCACTTGCGATTGCGTTGTAAAGATCTCTTGTGGCATATTCCGGATCTTCTCCGGCCAATCTATCAGCAACATCCGCTGACAAATTTTTAATCCCTTGATTCGTCTATAACATTTTAAAAATTATAGAGACCATGTGGTAAAATGACTATAATAATAATAATTGACCTATGAGCATAAATTGGAGAATAAACTACAGGATGGCATATCCGTACCTTGACGTGGAATTTACAGTAAACTGCTTGGCCTAACGCGTTCACGAGTTTGTACGTGTTGGAACCGTATCCATCCATGTGTCTAAAGCCGTCAGGAGTGCCCCTATCGGTGAATTGTATCATGACCTGATGAATTGATTCAGGTCGCAAGGTGAGAAAATCCCAATATGCATCTAGATCCTGAAAGGAATTTCGTCGTTTGGACATAGAATGTTCACTTACGTAAAATATATATGAATTACCCTTAAATTAGTAACGGGGTTTCTTTTCTGGGAGTGTATAAAACTGTAGAACATAAAAGGATCCCTCACGAAAAATATAGGAGTATTGTTACCAACGAGATCCCAGATACCATCTTCCGTATAAAATTTGATTGCGAAACCTCTTGGATCCCTAAAAATAAACAACAATTTGTTGGAAAAGTAAGCATTTACAATCTGAGTAATTAACGGCTTTAATTTATACCATTAACGTGCGAGCTTACAACCGATGAAATGTATAATGTTTTATCAGTTATTGTCAAATATTACTAATTTAATGTCAAGTGAATATGAAAATTTTAATAGACTTCATATTTGGCTAGTTTTGTAGCGAGGGTTTTAATGTATAATGCCATAATGTCTTTTGTTCTTTTCGACGTTATGGAAAAAATTCTGTATGCTCACGTTTCTTCCTGTGTTGTCATCGTTTATTTTTTCAAGTCCTTCTTTGCCTCTTTTCCACATACCTATTTTATACATTCCATTTTCTATGAGTAGTACGGGATTAATCTAATGTCCTGTTGTTCTTTTAATGACAGAGGATTACTTTTTCTTGAATAGCAACATCTTGTTGGCGATGTGTAAACAATTATTTGCAGACCGTGTGCTGACGTCGTCATATAGGACTTTTCTCGTAAGTTTTTTTGCACAACTGGCAACTCCTTAACAAGCTAGGAGAAGGCAGACGCTTTTGTACAATATATGCAACGATTTTCTACCTAAACCATATGTCACGTTTGCTAGCCTAGCCAGTTGGACAAACTGGTCACTACCATGGTGCACTGCATTCGGGCTGTCTCCTAAAGCCCTAGGTGTTTCACTTATCGCTCAGCTTAACCTTTTATTCTTCTTCTATTTGCATGTAAGAATGAGTAACTATTTTACCTATAAGCATTAATATTTGGCATTTCTCTGACGCGACTTTGAGATGTTCTTATTCATGCGATTCTTTGATTAGATGAACAATTGCCTGGATCTTCTGTTGACTATGAAGTTCACGAAATTGGATCCGTTTTATCTAGCAGTTTTAGGAAGCTGTCTTAAAGGCAATGACCCCAACCCTGGCCATACCTTCGTTATATCACCTTCAACAACTATAAGCTTTCAAAAGCACTGGCATCCCATTAAAAAAAAATAATAAACAAAATTTAAATAACTCCTCGCTACTTATCCTTCCTATATACTTCCTCGCCGTTCTCTGCAGAATGTTTTTTTTTTGTGTTGCTTCACAATGATGAGCTTTTCTCAAATTTTACATAATCGGTTTATCACCTAGTTTCGCTAAAATTTGAATTCAACACTTTTTCCATAAGTTCAGGAAAGCCTCTTGCTTAAGCAGTCATTGAAAATGGCTTTCCGTATCATCCCTTCACTTTATTTAGTTCTCTGTCATGTCATACAATTACGATCTAATTACTCCAACGATGTTATCCCAACTTCCTAAAAAAGCAACAATTTCATAACATATCTCTTCAACGCTGTCCTTCGCACTACCCACTTATGGAAATTCTCTTCAATAAAGGTTATTCCAAAACGAAACAAACCCACTCACCTTTCCAGTTCTTACAGACCAATCAGTCTTTTACCAATAAACGGGAAGATTCTCGAGAAACTTCTGTTGCTCCGCCTTGATACATTGCATCCTATATTACGCGTAATAAACAATTCGACTTTCGCAGTCCTCACTCGACTATCCATCAAGCTCATCGCGTTGTAGACACCATTGGCCATTGCCCCCTTCTCTTCTCTATTCTTGATACTAAAATTATACCTTACGGACTGTCACTTCCAAACTGTCCAAAAATCTTTCTCCTCCATTTATACGGGGGAGCGTGCTCACTCCCCTTCTCCACACAATTTATACGCCAGATCTACCCACTCACCCTAACATTCATTTTTACCTTTGCCGATGACACTTAAATACTTACCTCCGATAAAAACCCGTTACTGCTTCACGTAATTTACAAAATGGCTTACACACACTTGAATCACGGCTCCGCCAATGGAAAATCAAGGTTAATATAACTAAATCTAAATACATTGTTTTTACCCTTAATAAAAAACTTTCCTCCTTTAAATTTCAAAAAATTCGTTCCTAGTCCCGAACGACACCTTGAACTGGACATCGACAAACGACTACGTGGAATCCCCATACAACACTCATAAACTCGAAACAAGACTCGTAAAAATTTAAATGCAAGATTCAGACTGCTAAAAAGACTAATTGACAAGCGGTCCAAACTTACATTAACAAACAAAAGCAACTATGCACTGCCCTTCTAGCCCCCAAGGGCATAAAGACTTGAAGTAACCGCTAAGCGTTCCAATCTTAACAGACTGCATACCCTACATTCTAAAATTATGCGAACAATAGTTAATGCTCTTTTCTGTGTCTCTAACCATACAATTCATACGTATTTAAAAATTCCATTCGTATCCGACTTTGCCCAAGTCCGTTACTAGAATTTTCATTATAAATTACCTGATTATTCAAACCCCTTAATTCGCGAATTGTCATCCACTATCTTACCCCCCAATTCTTGTCGGCGACTGAATCGACGTTGACCACGCGGAACTTAGTTACCTCATCATCAATGGTTGCCAACTGTTGCATATTTTAAGTGCAGTTGCAAATAAATAAATTTTAAAAAATTCGTTTCTCTGTTATCCCTGTTTGAGGGTGTTATGTTATTTTCGGCGATCTTGGCACTTGTCAATTCTTTTATCATCTTAACCATGGTAAAACGTAGTTGATGGTGGCATTGAGTCACTAAGCAACCATATTTCGTCTAATGAAAAAGATCCTATTCTTCAGCAAGAGCGGTTTGAAGCTACTCAACGCTTGTTGGAGTCGGCGAACGATGTTGTAAAGCATACACCTGCCTCTTTATCATGCCCCATAAGTATTATATGGGATACACATCATACACGTGCTGGCCAAATCATTCTGGTCCTATATCCTCCAAGTGATGGGTGACAACTCGAACTAAATGCGGTCAAGCAGTATCATGCATTAACACGAATTTGTCCTCAATAAATGGAGCAAATAGGATCACAGCTTCCGGAAGAACGTCCTCAATGAACTTTAGTACAGTCAAAGATACAATATAAAAATTTTGTTCCCTGGCGATTTTATTTTACGCGAAGAGTTTGCATAAAAATAATTCAGGTGGGGTGAGAATGTCGATTCTCTTTGTGTAAAGGATGGTTCTACTCATAGAATTTGAAAATAGAATCTTAATATCTTCATGAACATATTTGGTGGGTTAGAGGAGGCAACTCACACCTCCAGTACATGTACAACCTAAAAATTGTTGTAAGCAACTACTTTTCCGATGTTATTCGACATATTTCGTTTTCCTAAAGTTGTTGTAGTTGATCTATTGGAACAATCGTTGAAGACAGCGATATCGTACAATAGATCGTACTCGTAGACATCAAAACTCTAAGTCGAGTCGCAATATCACCTGAAAACATTCTGGGAGTACAACCATCTTTTACCACAACAAAAAGTCTGCATTTCTCATAAATACATTGGCAATGTTCCACTTTCTTCACTAAATATAAACTAGAATCTTTTTTATTTGTTCTCTAAAATATATGTTAAAAGTTAGACATCCCATGTTAGGGTTGCATTCTCTGTTGCTAATGTGTTTAATTAATTAAGCAGCTCAATGTTGCCTGGATTCAAGTATACATTTATTTACCTACCTGAATTCTTTATTTCACTTTCTCAGATGAATCAGTTTTTTTGAAGTTACCGTACAGTTTCGTACAAAAAAACTTCAATTTTGAATAAATATCCACATTAAAGAAATATAAATGTGGATTGTACATATTCGCAAAGCGACAATGTTCTTAAATATTTTCCCCATGAACAAGTTATAATTTAATGCTCGATCAAACATATTGTTAAGGAGTTAAAGAAGATTTTTATGCCGACATATTCTCTCAGAACATATTTTGGACAAGTTATGTAGATTAATTAGAAAAATTAATGAAAGCCATAAATATAAATTGTACCTTAAAGTGTCCGCGGTGCCTCGTTCTCCAATCACAGTTGAGAAACGAATAAGAACTGGGGTCTTTTTTCCAATTTCATCAAACACCGTCGCTTTTGAATAAGGTTTGATGTCATTTGTTACTTCAAAATACCCGAAAGCACCTAACCAGAACAAAAAGAAATATTATCAAACAGTAAGATATGTTAAATAAATGTATATTAAATTGTATAGTTTGTTTTAACACGTGTAGCATGACATTACAATATTTACCTGCTCCTTTTGCGTGTACCACTCGTTCTGGAATTCTTTCCCGATTAAAATGTTGTGCTTCGTCTATGAAAACCATGTCCTGGAGGAGCATCGGTCCACGTTCTCCAACCGTCATGACATTTGTTTTATCATCAACCGGGTTTCCTCCGCTATTCGTGATCGTCTTAGGTTCCTGTCAATTCCACTCGATTTAGTGAATATGTCCTCATTCATATTAATTAAGACATTTAATTAGATTGAATTGTAAAGTAGTAAATAGTTAGGAGAACACATTGTTTACAAATTTGCATATTGGGAACGCAGAACAACCGTCAAAAGAGGTAAAAATCTGTTGACTCAATTCACCCTCCAAGTTAACACTTTTATACGAAGCTTTTCAAAGGATATATTAGAACATCTTGCGTGATAATTTGTGCATAATATTAACGCACTTTTTACGATAACGTCAATTAAAAATTAGAGGAAATAAAATGTATCCGTTTATGTAATTAAAATTTAATAATCTTGTCAATATATATTTTCTTGTCAAATTCCCTGTTTTTTGAAGAAGAAAAAAAAAACAACGTGTAATGGAGGTTTTATTATTTTTTTTTATTCCTTGTGTTAGCAGCTGTATGTTGAACACGGTAAGTATATTTTTGCTTCTTTTGTAACAATGTGACCCAAGCGCGAAGAAAACCATGTGCATTATATTGAGATGCTGTTAGCGAGCGGAAGTGCCGGAGGTAGTTTGCCAAGTTTAGATAAGGACTTTTTCTTTGAAAAACAAGAACCTTCAGAAAAGACGACAACGCCCTACTTAAAGCTGTAATTAAAATTAATCTAGTAGGACATAACAGTGTAATTTCTAATAGAAACCCGGCTAATTCATTCATCTTGATACTGGAGCAATTACTTATTTACATATATGAATTTGAATTAATCCGTAGCGCAAGTTGTCGACAGTAAATTGTAAAGATCGTAGTACTTACAAGGGGAGGATACTGACATGGGATCAACGTTCTTAACCACGCATTTTTTGGTGATGTAAGGTCAAAAAATATTATAGACGTGTCCTAGCGATCGTGCCAAAAGCCCTAAGGGCAGAGAAATTTTTTTAAATACTATAACTATTTTGTTTTACTGTTGGTTTCTGTCTTTGTTAAGCATGTATTTCTTGGTTATTATATATCACTGAATTTGTTGTTTAAAATATAAGAAAACTATGTTGTTTTATATTAAACTAGTCTAAATATATAAAAAGTTACAAAGACGAAAAGTCGCTTCCAGTAAAGTAGGCTCAAAATAATAGATTTTTACAAAAAAAATCAAATTGATTTTACGCACCCTTTAAAGCTCTTAAATCCTATTTTTATAGAAAATATATTTTTAGACTGGGTCAGCCAAGAGCATTATATTTTTGTTTTATGATGTCAGGTGTTCCACAATTTTCTACTTCTCCTAATTTTATCCAATTATTATTATTATTACAACTGTTATTACAACTGTTCACAATGTGCATTTCTCTTCTTTGGGCCTATATCAACAATGTTTGGTTTTTATGTCGTTATAAGTGAGAAAAATAATTATCAAATTAACGAAAATAATTATCAAAATATAATTTTTTTTATATTTTAAATAACAAACCCTTTTTAAAACTATTATTATTATTTACACCTGCAACTTTAGTTACGGTAAGGCATAACATAACATGATAAAATTAAATATGATGGGAGCAGCCACCCCCTCACTGCACGCGCACGAACATCACAGAAGCAAATCCCTACGCCATTGCCTCTTCAGACGACGTGGAGTATTTCAAGGTAGGGTTAGTATGGAAAGTTTTTTTAAGAGAGGCTTTAGGTGTACAGAAAGGTTATTGTGTAATTTGTGATAACATTTTATTACAAGGACGTGAACGAATGGAATGTGGAGGTGAGTGCGAATTGTTTTATTGGAGAGTAGAAGGAAGCATTAAGGATATTTCTTAGAATGTGGATTGGAAGACTGTAGATACGGAATTGGAAACTTTGATAGAGCCCCAAATTTCCACTCCATAGTCCATGTCGGATGAATGAGAGTTTTTATAAAAAGTAAGTTCGTTGGTAGTTTTAAGTGGGATCGTTGGTCGAGTAATCTAAACAAGAATTTGAGACGGTTCATGTCTTTGCGTTTCAGCCGGGTGTGTGGATTCCTCATCAGTCTTTTATCAATGTGCAGCCCCATGTATTGTATGAAGTCAGCGGTCGGTATCAGTATGTCATTAAATCATAAGGAAGGTTATAGTGACTTTCTTAGTACGAACGTGACTTAAGTACATTTGTTTTCTGTTACTTTGTGGCACCAGTCTTCTAGTAGGGTGAGGTGACTTTGCAGATAGGAGCTTACAACGGATGGGTTGGAGAGCCGTGTCGTTGGCAAACGTTGAGATGACTAGGGGGTTTGGAAAATTAAGAATGTCCGCAGAGTACATTGTTAAAACGATCGGGCGAAGGATATCTCCTTGTGGAACTCCAGCTTTTACTAGAATATAAGACGAAAAGATGTTCCCTGACTGACACGGAAATACGGTCTGACAGGCGGGATCGGACGATAAGGTAGAAGGTATTGGAAAAATTACCCAAACATTTTATTCTCAAGTTCAATTTTGATTTATTTAACGATGCCAGGTTTGTACCATTTCGTTTAACGAGCATAACTTCTTAACTCCTGTAAAAATTAATGTGGAACGGTGGCGTCCGTTTTATATTATGAATCATTTTGTAATTTCTGAAGACAAAAAATCAAATGCATTTTGGAATGACAAAATTTGTATAAGAAATAGTTTATGATTTTCCCAAAAATTTGTATTCAGTGGGTTTTGGGGGTGTGGAAAACAAATAACAACTTTGAATCTTGCTAAAACAACACGTCAACCTTGCTTAGTCACTCGGTCTAAGCCAAAATTTCATTTAGAAGCTAGCAGAAGCATTGGTATCAAGTATTGAAATTCATAATGTGTGGCCGAGCTGTGTCGAAACAAAGTTGATTGATACTTGATATTTTTTAATCAAATCAAGAGCATTTGGGGGACACAAAATTAGAGAAGGTAGGTTTCTTTGATTTTCTCAAAAAAAATTATTCAGTGGTTTTTTGGATGCAAAAAACTAATGTAAACTTTGTTTTATTACTAATGAAATATAAATGCCTACTGTCCTACGTGCTCGGTCACAAATTATGTATTTCAATGTCTACGGTATACGTACTTTATTATTATTAGCTGCCAAAGACCATTTTGATGTATGTTGTCCCATTCCTCCAATAAAACCCTACAGCATTTCAAGCTAGTTGATGGAATGAATCAAGGGTTGATCCCGTGACCAAACCTTTATTTCGCGATTTTCCCAAGTTCGCTATAGGAATAAGGTCCGGACTTATTGCTGGCCACTTAAGGGTTTGGATACCTGAGGTATTCGTGTACACAGAAACACATGTTGTCTTATGCAGGCTGGCATTATCATGCATAATCAATGATTCGGATCTTAAGAAAAACATGAATGACACTACACCATCTTGTAGGATGATCCCACCTTGGATTGATACCAACTAGAAAATAATAGACCCACCAGTAAATATCATGTTTTCACATGCCGCATTCGTTCACTAGATCTTACACAGATGGTTTCAAAGCCGTATGACTCGTCACATTGGTGAATATGACTTTTTCTATTTCTTTACAACCCGGGATTGAGGTTTTCTTGCTATTCTAAGTCTCTTTCTAAGGTGTCCAAACTCCCTCTTGATCTAAGGTTTGACACTCTCAGTCTTGTTCTAACAGTTGACCGTAAAATTGTTATCTCCCAAATTCAATCAATCGAGTTTTTCATACCAGAATCTATTGTTGTCCGGATTGCTTGCATCTGATTACTAAAACGATCGTCTATTCTGAGTTGACCTGGATTTGGTCGCATCAAGGCTCAGTATACCTTTTAATCGTCCTTTAAAACTGAAGAATGAGTTCCATTCTTCATGTACAGTGATGATTGTGACTGATTCTTTACGGAGAAATTGCGACCTGGGACTAACAAACGATAAAGACCGACAGAAATAAAACATTGTAATAAACTTGCCAAAATGTAATCATTTGTTGCTGGGCACCAGGACATATGGGGGTAGAAGGCAACGAGACAGCGGATGCCCTTGCAAGAATAAGGGCTGCTATACCGTTGATACGATCCGAGCCCTTCTGTGGCATAGGAATCCGCACTATCAATGAGCATTTCAGATAGAAGGGTAAAAATAAAATGGGAGACAATGGAACTCATTCATTGGGCATAAACAATCCAGGAACCCCGTAACAAACTTTGAAAGGAAAGAGGTAACAGAATACTTTAAAGAAAGCAGGGAAAACCTACGAATCCTAACAGGTTTCTTAACAGGACACTAAAAACTAAACGGATATCTGAAGAAGATGTGCATAACCCAACACGACAAGTGCAGATTCTGCAACGATACAGAAGAGTACCAACACACAAACTGTGGTGCTTCCCTCGCCTGCAGGAGGGAGTGTTTTGGTTTCAACCACTGAAACCGGGTCTACTGATCAAATTCCGTTATGATCTAGGACTCACCGGTGGGCTTTAAGCACAGAACGGGGATACAATAGCTCTTAAATGGCGCAGTATAATACACACCCCAACTAATACATCTATCTATATAATCCTTTGTTGGAGTTTGTCTATCTGTATAATCAGTGATTAATAATTATATATTAAATCCGAAATACCTCTTATGGAGCAAATAATATCACTACATATATAAATAAAACGTAGATTGAGATCAAGCTCAAGTACAGATTTCTTTATGCTGTATTTAAAAAAATCCACTGCTATATAATAATTCACAATAAAGGTAGAAACCTACATTTAAAAAAAAGATATTTTATTCTTAAATATTTTTTCTAGGCAACTAGAACAACCAATGGCAAGAATAGACTAGGCAAAATATTTTTCTACGTTGAGTAGTTTTTGAGGAATCCAGGGTTCACATGTAAGTTGACATGTTTAATTTTTTTTTAATGTGTTGTTTATTTCATACTGATAACCAACTTTACATACGAAAGTAATATTTTATGTTCGTATTGTATTTTCAGCTGTTTTAAAATACATGTTCTTTAAATATCAGTTTGATTCTAATTAAATAATTATTGTTTAGTTTTATTAAGCATTTTTTTGATAAATTGGTAAAATATATTCTACAATATCTTACATCCGATAAACCTTTGGCAGAAGTGTGCATCTATTCTCCCTTCTTTTATATTAAGATTGAAATAAGACTGATTGAAATAAGAGCCCATATATTATATTGTTTGTAAATTAAAATATCCACGGCGTAAAGTTATTTAGATTATGTTTAAAGATGGGTTGTTCTGAGTTTATATTAACGAGAAATGAACATTGCCTCTTAAGCCCAAGAAAAATTACATGACAAAATAAAAAATGATACATAAAGTGAAACTGGTATAAAACCTAAAACACTTTTGCAATTCATGTCGAGAGACGTGGTTGTAGAAAGCCTTCAACCTGATGATGAGCTAAAGGGCTCGAAATCCGGATCGTTGCAAAACTACTTATTGTGAGAACTATCTTTTTAAAAAGGACTGGGTCTAATCGTAGTTGTTTTGGTCATTGGTTTATCAGTGGTAACAAACTCGAAAGCTTTAGACTAACCTACTAGTAAAATAAGTAACCAATTTTTAAACTTACTCTGTTATTTTCCATGTGATTCCATAGTTGTTGTGAAGCCGGTTGCTTTGGCAATTGAGTATCTGAAAAAAAGGACATCTTAATATTCTTTTTTTACTGAAAACTAAGAAATATCAATGCATTTTTAACAGAGATAAACTTTAGTAATATGGAAATTAACTATGTACAATAATAAAGTATATCCTGAGTTAATAGATAAGCGTTGAAAAATTCTATTCGCAAAAATATAAATACATATAATTTTTTAGAGATCGTCAGATGCGGTCCGTAAATAATCATTAATTAACGGTCACTAAATATTACTTAACTTAAATATAAATACATATACTTAACATAATAAAGGTTTTGACTAACATAAGTTTTGAATCAATTTAATGATATATATATATGTATCATTCACGGTGAATTTTTACTAATGGTTTGCAAGCCATTATCTTTTTCACGAATTTAACGTTAGCTAACTATAAATCATTTTTCAGATAGACGGGTCAGTGAAACCATTGCTTCAATACAGTAAACTGTTAATCAAGACACAACTAACAAATTAAACTTACCTCATCTACATACTCCACATTTACATAATACCGGAATTACCTCATTTACATATCCTACTTTTGCAAAACAGCTTTGGCCAAACAGACGCTGAATGGCTGTGAACTAATAGTACAATCCTGAGAAGATAGTGTTTTTTTTTTAAACACGATGTATGCTCAAGAAGATTTATGTTAATTGGGAAGGAGGAATTTTGTAAAATATATAATGGTACCCAATCTGAAGAAATCGAGATGTGTGTAAAATTAATCTCAAGCACATTTTAAAATAAAATTGTCTAGCTTTTTTAAATTACTGCATAGTTACTAACCGTCTGCAGAAGGTCACAAACGTTCAGTGTGAAATAAAATAATTATACTGACCTATCTTCCTCGTACAGAGTAAAATTTTAGATTTTGGCTTCAAGGACTTCAAGGCTATTGCAGGGCAAATCAATATGATGTAATCTGTTGCCTATTTCTTGTTTGAATAGGAGTTTTTATCCGTTTGGGTTGTTTTTGTAGTGTTTTGCTTAATGCGCGTCGTGCGTTCCCAATATTTGTTATATTCTGTAGGAACCCCCCTCCTATTTTATGCCAAAAAATTGATTTGGGTCTGTTGTACCGAGTCTACCTTTTTTGCTGAAAAGTATGAAACTTTCTTAGAAATTATGAATGGTAGAGTGAGTGCGGTGTCCAATCCTTTGTAAAACGATAGTTCCTACTCAGAGTAAGTGGTTTTCAACGATTCGGATTTCGAGCTTTTAGCGCATCATCAGCTTGAAAGAGTTCTACAACCTGATGATGAGCTAAAAGCTCGAAATCCGTATAGTTGAAAACAACTTACTCTGAGTAGGAACTATCGTTTTAAAAAGGATGAAACTTTCTTGCCAGAAATCAATGCCTGGGAACCACCATAGCTTGTGGCTATTTGTAGAGCCCAGCTTTTTTAGGATATTTAGGCAGTTCCACAATAGTTTTCAGTTGATCGCGTAGACTTGGAGAGCCTTTGGAACAACTTGGCTATCTGACTGTATTAGTGTAGTTCCCCCCTCGAATTGTTTCTTATTTGATTTTGTGCTCATATTTCTATGGCTAGCAATGCAACCTGACGGCGTATGGTGCTCGTAGTTAGGCCCCTTTTTGTCCATTGCCGAACTATTTCCCATTGCTCAGTCATCCTAATGCCATAGTCGTTTCCTTGCTTTACATGGCAGTTCAATAGGATATATGTTGACTACTTCCCTCTAGACATAATCGGCGTTGGTCATCTATTATTAGGCCAATTTTTTTAAGTAGTAGTTTTCTGAACCATCACCAATAAATATAAGTGTTAAAATTTGTAATTATTTTTTTTGTTGAGTGACTCTGTCTTATTGGGTGATTTTTGTAGCCTTTTTACTTGCCTAATGCGCGGCATATATTCCCAATGTTTGTTGTTCTTTAGTAACCCATGATTCCAGTTTTTTTATGTGGGTATAATTTATGCCACAAACTGGATTTGGTTCTATATTTTTTCAAACGCACCCTTTTTAGCTTGCACGTCAGTTTTCTCCTTGTTTACAGTTCCTACGTGGTCCCATTTTCTTAGGCTATTTACGAGTTCCAGACTAGTTTCGATTTGATCTCGTGGGTTGAAATAAAATCGGTGTTCAAAACAATTGATTTAATATTAAAAATTATCATTGGAAAAACCAGTGTTTTGAACGAAATGAAACTAATTAAAACGATTTGTTTCTCTCTTTTTTCTATTACAATGTCCTTGCAAAATCAAAAAAGTTCACTTATAGCCAAATTTCTAAATGAAAATTGAAAAAGTAAATTCAATTGCTACGGTTGGCTACAAGGAAGAAAATAAACCTGTAATTAATATTGATACAGAACGTACTGAACCGAAACTGACAAAAGGAAAGAGTGTATCTCGCATCACCTGTCGTTAACGTAATGTCGCGGTTGGTACAATACGTTACATAAAATTCCAAATGTTGTGAAATCATGAGTGTGATGTCTTGTGTAAATGGTGTACAGCCGATTGAACTTTGTTTAAGGAGGCACACTGCCAGTTGGATTGAGTTTAAAAGACAAAATCAGTGCTTACGGATAAAAATTTGTAAATATAATATAACTTCTAACTAATATCTGACGGATGATAGGAAGGAAAGCCAGAAAACACAAGCACACACATCTATTATAAAATTTTACCTAATGAAATAGTATGCAATTTTTGTCGATTATATTGTAGATCATTGACTGGTATAAAAATAATCTTCTATAAGTCAGGATAAAACTACGATGCTCAATTCCACAAGGACCTTAATACAATTGACACATTGTTGTTTTTAGTAAGCTTTCTACGGATCGTTAAAAAGCAACTATGCCGAAGAATTGTATGAACGGATAATGCAGTGCGAAGATATTTTGAAGTTTTCACTTTCATGTTCCTCTCTATTTAACACGGGCATCGTGCAGCAACTACATACATTCATCGGCCACACCGTAACAAGAATAATGAGTTTAGCGAAATCACAGCTTCGTACTTTTTTATATAATGATACTACAAAATTTAATTTATTTTTTATATTTCAACTAAAACAATAGAACAAAAGGGCATATATATTACGGATTGTTATCTGCTAAATGATTAAATTGTAAAACATATCCCAATCAATAAAACTCTATCCAATGTGTATTGTCAATCAAAGATAAGCAGGCTGACGACAAAATGACATTACGTGCGTAGTTTTAACAACGATGAGATATCTTAAAAATAGGATTTTAATTAAAACAATTATGGTACTTAGCGTTGCGTATCTTAATACTAATTATTTCCGGTTAACATTGAGTTAAACTGTTTTTTCTTGGATGCGCAATTTTTATTACCGTAAAGGTTGCGTTAATTTTGCGTAGAGGTCAAGAAAGGTTTAATATTTCCTTACGTGTAAAACAATGATTGTACAAATTAGAGTTGTTGCCATGATTTTGACCTACATAATGTGATCCTCAGGGTCGTTTTTTCAAATATACAGTTCCGGCTGAACTTTGTAAAATTACATTAATTTACTTAGTGATCACGATTATACCCAATGTACAGCTTAAAAAGACAGGGTTTTTCTACATTTTTCAGTTTGATTGTTATATTTAAATTGTTATAAAGAATTGAATTTCCTTTTACATGAGCTCTAATACATTATTTTTAGTCTTGTTGGTAATCATTTTAAGGAATACTAGAGGAAAACAATTTAACCTTTTAACTCGCCCCTAAAAAGACAGGCACAATTACAAATTAATTACAGTTCGCTTTGAAGAAAACGAAAGAATAATTTTTTTACATCGTCTCGTTGGACTAAGAAAAAGTTGCCTGAACAAATTTTCTATATTTAAAAAAATATTTAAATGATATTTGGCAACTTTAATTATTTTATGGTTTGCAAATAGTTATTAAGCTTAATACGAGATTTTTTAACATGTTTATATAATGTGCTGAAACAGTTTCCATTGATGTATCTCCTGAGGTACTTTACCAAGTTCAGCGAAAATGGTTTTAATGAAGGATGTATCTACCTAGACGAGTAGAAATTTGTCTCTCCTTCTCTGAGGACTACAAAGACACCGACGCTCAAGAGACCAAGGCGGATCTTTTTTTTGACGGTGAGAACCGAACCCCGATCTAAATCTAATGCTCTAGCCACTCAGCTACCGTCCTCAGCAATTTTTAACGACAAAAACAAGCTTTATTACATTTCAATTTCCTAAGGGTTCACCCAAGTACAAAATCTAGAATCGAGCAAAATGTACTATATAAGACTGTTTACCTCAATATGTAAACACTTTAAAGAAATTGTTTTTAAAAGAGATTTCATCTTCGACAACTTTCACTTGGTAATTTATTCATAAAAGCTAACAGTTTGTGATATTTGCAAAAATGTGGCGAGAAACGCGTTCGCCATATACTATAACTGTGAGATCACACAGAACACCAAAAAGGATTCAATTGGATAATTTTAACTTGAATAGGTAACTTCATTTAATTGTGTCACAATTAAGTTATATGGAATTGCAAAAGACAGAAAAATGCCTGCTGGAAAAGTTCCCGAGTAGTGAGGCTTTCCAATGGACAAATCTCAATCGACTAATTTAATTATTTAAACAGTTTACAAATTGCCAATGAAAATAACAGTCAATGTTCTGAAATTCGGTGGAAAATTTCAACTAGTCTTGTCTAAAGTAGACGAAAGACATAACGAATCGAAAAAATGCATGTCACTCCTTACAAAACGCAAAGTACTTGTCTTTCGTTATGTAAAACCGTAATGGACACAAAAGAAAGTCACATGTAAACCTATTATATTAAGATCTAAAAAATATTTATGTAAGTAACAATAATTTTTGCTGACGTTGCCAAACTACATATCCACAACAATAAAAAATAAAGATTAAAATACGTTGTGATGCAAATTATTTAGGCTCACGCCCAAGAAATTTGAAATAGTGGGTTCTAATTATTTTTTTTATTTTAGGGTTGGCTAAAATAAGAACAA